TTAAAAAGTGGGAGAATGTGAAGCCTCTAAAACGAAGCCTGTGAAGACGTTTTAGTGAACCATTGCTTTGGCTTGGCATTCATTTATGGGCTGTAACAGCCGACGGTAGGAAGGGAAGAACATGTTTCAGGTGCTTATCATGAGTCTGACGCTAATCTGAGAGGATTTTTTCCACCACTCCGGCTTTTTTATTAGACACCAGTCAGATTCGCTCTAGTCAACTGAAGTGACTCCTTACATCATTCATCCTTTTAGAGCTAAGAATGGAATTCATGATGTTTGTATGTATGTGGGTTAGCGAGCTAACTTCAGCTACAGTTAGCGCTGAGCAGAGACGAGTGAAGCCATGTTGGATTAGCACAGGGCTGCTTTAAATGGGTTCTAGTTTCATAATAAATCTCTGTTGAAGGTCAACAGGCATTGCTTTTGAATATGAAAGTGATTTTTCTGTTCGATTATTTAAGGGTCCTACAGAAACGTCCAATTTTCTATCTCTCCATAGGAGTCACTGGTGTTACCAGTCTTCACTGGTGTTACTCATAAGAAAGGTAACACCAGAGGCATTTTAATGAAAAATGCATTTTACAAAATGGCTGCTACAGATCATCAAACCACATGTTGTCAATCATGGAACATCCACTAAAATATGTAATTTAACCCATTTGTGTTCTTTACAATTGCCTAAGAATAAAGTCGGTCACACCAGTGACTTCAACTAAAAGCTTCATATGAAATCATGAGCTAAATGAGAAAATCTCTGGTAACTGAAAGACACAGTGGACTCACCATGTGCTTTTCTTCAAAGATCCTCAGAAAACAGGTAAAAGGAAGTCAAGTGATGTCATCAGTGTGACTTTTATTTCAAAATAAGAGATTTTAGTTATGCAGTAACAGCAGTGACACGACTCCTGGGGAACTTTCATTATATATCATTTAATTCATATTTTTCATAGTCATGTATAGATTATTGCAGTTAAAATAGCAGAAAAACATGTTTTTTTCTTCAAAATATGGCCTCAGCCTTTACACGTGGCTGTGAGGACGAGCTCTTCTGTGGTGCTTGGAATTCTAGATAATCGATTCAAAATTCAAAACCAATATTGCTAAATTGAGGCTCAAGAAGGTGTAATTGTTCAAATAACATTGTTTTATTTTAAAATATAAATAAATTGTAACCGTAACGTTTTTTTTAAGTGTGATATATCTGTAAACGCTAGGGACACAAAAAAGGTTGTTTCTGTAGAATGACCCATTTACTACTTTCCTCAAATGTAGTCTATACACCAAGATGTTTGGTGTTTGAGGTTTGCTTCTTTAGTTTTACACTGAAGCAGATGTAGGTAGCACGTAATGTACCGAATATGTCTTGGTTGACTGACTACATTTACAGTATGGGGGAAATTAATTTGGGAACATTTTCGCTATTACTGTAAGGTAATCTTAGGTTTTACTCGAAGCAAATATGTCCACCTTAGCTCAGCGCTGCCTTAAACTGATCCCAGACTGAGCGTGCTAGCTCAGAAATCCAGCCCCTCTGTAATATTCCCCCGAGGGCAACAACAATATTGAAACCAGGCCGACTGGCTGACTGTAGCAGTGTTTGGATGTTGCCTGATAAATCATTGTAACTGTATTGGATCGGGGGAAGGGAGGTGTAGACAGGTGAAGACAACGTTGTGATAAGATTGATCTCAGATGGTGGTGTTTGTGGTATTATACACCAACACTACTCAATAAAGCGCTAGCTTGGTGGTTAGCTTGAAATGGAACTGCTTCTGCTTTAGCATGTGGTGATCGTTTTGTGTAAATGTAACATTACACCAGTTCTACTTGGCCACTGTTTTCCAGACTTTTGCAAAAAATACCTGTTAAACCAGCTTTTTCTCTGGCAGTGGGAGTTGAACAGTCTCAGGCGCTCTCGGGACGTGCCTGAACAGGATTAGCCGTGTGTACAGAGGACGGTGGCTGCAGTCGGGAGATTCCTGAACAGTGACTGAACTGCGGAATCAAAAAACCTCCAGATTGTGAAACCCTCCTGTGAAGCGTAGGAACATGACAAAAATGCAGGACCAGCAGTGATGGGATTTGTTAGATGAGGCAGACGTTCTGTTGTTTCTGAGCTCTTTGATGGCTCTTTGCATTTGTGAAAGTCCCTGTGGGAATGGGAATAGAATGGGAATAGAATAGAAATCGGGCCAATGAGTCATTACTTGTCCAGGAAGTTAGCACATCAGGGTTGGGACCTCCAACAATGGATGTTGTCATTTCAAAGTTGGGGATTTTCATAGATATCTACAGGATGTCGAGTAAAATTTTGGTTTCAGAAATGGTGGGATGCTAACAATTGTTCACAATTCCAGCGTCATTCAATTAAGGTGTAAATGAAGAGTTCGAAAAGGGTTTTGGCCTAAAAAGTAGGTTTAAGAATGCATTCATGGTGAAGAGGTACATGCAGGGCATTTTAAGGTAAATATTTTTTGTTTTTTTTAGATTTTACACTACTTCACCATCATCAACATTCCATATAAAACTCAGAACACTTGTGTCGGTTCACTGGTGGTTTTGGATAGTAAATAAAATGTCTATATGTACTGTAGATATGGTGACCCCTGGTTCCTATCACCACCACTGTGGAGAAATCTTTAACCACTTCACACCAAACCACTCAACCGCCATCTCATCCACTGAATTTCGCAGAGATTTTGAAAAATCTGAAGAATTCCCCGTTAACGTTAGCTAACTATGCTACCCCATTTCATCATTTATCTGGAAAAGCATGAGAACTTATGCAAATGAAAATAGCACTAACAGAATCGATTGTCCACTTATCAAATGACTTCTTAATTTGTTCTTCTGGTTTGGAATATTGCAAACTTCTTTCTTTTCCTCATCATCTTCATCATTCACTTCAACAATTCTCAGACTCTGATTAGCTTAATGACCTAGCATAACTGTGAAAATGAGTTTAGCCCACTGATCCATGTTGCTGTTGTTGGAAGAAAACCTCACATCTCCAAAATGGTAACTTTACAGGAGAAGAAAAAACCTACTTTACTTTTAATGTAAGTCAATGGAACCAGACTTATTTCCAAGTCATTTTAGGCCATTTCTTTTAGTCCATTCATCGTGAAATTTACACACAATGTAAAGGACAACAGGCATTTTCAAATTATGTAAAAAACTGAAAAACGTCAAAAGTGGAGATATGAGGTTTTCTTCCGGCAACAGTGATATATCAGTAGTGTAGCTCCACTTCAGATTCATTTTTACTACCAAACACATGATATGATTCTGTTTCTTTCATCTGGATTATGACATCTGGACAGAAAGAGTTGATCTTGAAGTTAGCTCTTGTTAACTTTGAAAGAAGAGATGACAGTATCTGGATTTTGAAAAGTGGGGGAACATACCTCGTCTAAAACTAAGCCTAGTGAATCATAGCTTTGGCTTATGTTGGTATCAACTAGCATTAATTTATGGTCTGTAACAGCCGACTGTAGCAATGGATGAACATGTTTCAGGTGCTTGGCACGAGTCTGACGCTAATCTGAGAGGATTTTTTTCCGCCACTCCGGCTTTTTTATTAGACACCAGTCAGATTCGCTCTAGTCAACTGAAGTGACTCCTTACATCATTCATCCTTTTAGAGCTAAGAATGGAATTCACGATGTTTGTATGTATGTGGGTTAGTGAGCTAACTTCAGCTACAATTAGCGCTGAGCAGAGGCGAGTGAAGCCATGTTGGATTAGCACACGGGCTGCTATAAATGGATTCCTGCCTCATAGTAAACCTCTGTAGTCCAGGCTGAGGGTCAACAGACACTGTTGCCCACAGCGATAATTCTGTTTAATCAAATTTACACTATTTTCTCTTTACCTCAAAAGTTGTCAGTCAGCAAAGATGTGTTTGAAATTTGCTTCTTTAGTTTTACACGGATGCTAATGTAGCTGTAGCACATAATATAGCATTAATAGACAGAAGTATGGATAAAATACAGGTTTTAAAGTGGCTGCTGTTATTTTTAGCTATGCTAAGGTAATTTTGCCCATTTTTATAGATGACAGCAAGTCATTCAGTGTCAGAAACCACGGGGGATACAGTTAGCACCATGCTAGTTAGTGAGGTGTTAGCATACAATATCTTAGCTACAGTAAGAAGGGTCATTTTACTTCTGTGGTGGTAAATGATGTCCTGCAACTTTAAAGCAAATGAGCTCAAAGTAAGAATAAACCACAGAAAGTTAAAGTTTGTTCTATTCCTAAACCAACCAACCAAAAATTATGATAATTCTTCTCTCTGAATTTTTATTTTAGTAACTTTTAGTCACATTATGCATAAAAATTCAGCATGTAGCAGCAGCGATTTAACCAAAGGGGGATATTACTTATACAACACTAATTAAGTTGTTAAAATATATTAAAACTCTGTCGTATGTTAAAATGATTTTAAATATATAAATACAATGTTATGGTGATAATCTTGTCCTGAGATTTTTTTTGTCAGGAAGGTGTTTTTGCATTATTTCTTGTATCTTAAAGGAAGAAAGACTCTGAAAATTATACATTTATTGAAATCTCTTTTTGCAAAAAAAGTGTTGCAACTTTGCTGGTGTTGTTCAACATAAAAAACTACATTGTAAACTGGAATTACATCAACATTCGTGCCCAATTCCTGGTAGAATGGCCGAGAAGCAAACTACACACCCCAAACATGGATTAGCTGATTGACTACAGACTACAAATTAGAACTAAACTAGTCTTTTAACTGCAGTTATTGATTCAGCAGCGTTTTCGGACCACTTTGGCTATGAATGGGTTTTGACGCAGATATGTTGTTAGCTCCTGCAGCAGGACGTCCTTTAAAGTCCAATAAACACAGCTGCCTGACCAGGAGACACTTCACAGACTGCTCTGCCTGGTGTAGTGGAGCTGAGACCTGAGGATAAATGCTGTGCTGTTTGTTTAAACTTTGACATCATGTGTGCTTACTATTTCTGCAGTTCAGTCCAGACCTTTGAGCGACATCCTCCCCATCCCCTCCGACCCCCCCTGAAGAGGAATTTGGCAGCAGTGCAGCACTCGAGGGATGAATGAGGTAAGGAGTAGCATGAGTGTGAATTCTTTTTCACAGCAGGAACAGAAATCTCTTTCAGAGCTGCTCCAGCCAGACCGTTTAGCATCCAGTCTCCATCGTCTTCTTACCTACAGCTACTTCTCAGCTGTAGATCTCTAACCCTAACCCACGACCATCGTAATCATATCATATAATCAATGTCTTATTTTTGTGCAGTGTTTGAAACCAGCTATAGAAATGGTCCAAAATGACTTTAATGATGCATTAATATTCATTAGAGTTAAGAATGTTTTTACCTTCTCCTGGAAAGATTCCCTCTGAGGTTTTGTTACAAAAGCGACAATAACTTTGTTAGCTTAGATGAAAATTAATGTTCAAGTATGGGACAAAGGTTTTGAAGGGCAACTCCCAGTTACTGCATAATTTAGTGGTTGAGAGTCATTCAGAGTGGTTTGGTGTGAAATGGTTGATTGTAGAGACTCAGATGTCTTACAGTGGTGGTGATAGGAACCAGGGGTCACCATGTCTACAACACAAATAAAGACATTTTATTTACTATCCAAAACCACCAGTGAACCTACACGTCTCTGAGTTTCATATGGAATATTGATGATGGTAAAATAGTCATAAATCTGAAATAAATTGCTTGCACTAGGGACTATTTTGCCTTGCAACATCTTGCATGTATCCCTCCACCATGAATGTATTTAAACATATTGCATTTTAGTCCATTTTAGTCCATTTTAGTTCATTGTTTCACACTGTTTTATGATTTGGCCATAATTGTCTCAAAGCTATTTTTAAGCAGTTCATGGTGGAGGGGTATGTGAAGGATGTTGTGAGACTAAATAGTCCCCAAAGGAAGAGTATTTTTGAGATTTTTCACTATTTTACCATCATCATCATTCCATAAACCTCAGGAGACTCGTGTAGGTTCACTGGTGGTTTTGGATAGTAAATAAAATTGCTTTATTTGTGTTGTAGTCATGCTGACCCCTGGTACCTATCACCACCACTGTGAACTGAACCATTTCACACCAAACCACTCTGAATGACTTTTAACTTTACTTAATGTATGGTGGGTGGTCAATTAATAGTCGTTGTCTTTGTACTCTTTAAAATCTGCCTCCCAGAGTAGTTGGAGAGGGTGTGGAACTGGAGTTTTCTGTGAGCTGCCATGTTTCCTATCACTGTATAAAAGGAGCTCCATACTGCCTTTATTGTTGATACACTGTGGTAGTTTCTGAGTGAACGCAATTCACATGGCTATAGGAAACCCTTACTATTGACTTGTGTCATCAGAATTGCAATTAAAGGCCACCGAAATGTGAATTATATTGAGATTTATGAGTTTTGAATGGTTGTTTTGACACAAACTAAAATCTGTGATGTCACATTATTAAAGGAGAAAGGCTGTTTCTGTAGAATGTTTGTAGCTTGTTTTCAGTCATATCCACATCACTGTGTCCAGTTCAGAAGCTCACAGTGGCAATTATAAAGTGGAAAATTCCATTTCCTGCACCCTAAAAGTATTCAGTCATGAATAAGCGCCTTCAGTATCGCTGCTTAACTTTAACAGACGGCTGCTGGCTAAGTGGCTTTTTTTTTGTTGATCTGTAACCAGTTCACGCAGCAGCATCCTGAACTTAACTGCATTTTATTTACTTTTCAAAACCACCAGTAAACCTACATGAGTCTTCTGAGTTTTTATGTGTGATGATGATGATGGTAAAATAGTGATAAATCTGAAATAATATGTTTACAGTGGGGACTAGATTGCCTCACACCTCACAGTGTGAATCCCTCTAGTATTTATGTTTAAGTTTTAAAAATACGTATTAGAGCAAAACCTTCTCAAAACTATTGTGAAACAATGTCAGGCGTCAGGAAACACATGCATAACCATTTCATATAATAACTTTCTATGATGTATGTCCACCCTCAAAAAAGAAAATCCAACAGCAACATTCACAACCCCTAGAATTTATAAGCCCTTTAAAAAAACAAAAATTGTTAGACTTTTATTCCTGTATTTTTACATGCTTGTCTTTTAAATGAAGTGAAATGCTTTGTTTAAAAATAAAGTTTAGTATTATTTAAAGGGCAACTGAAAAAAAAAATCTTATTTTTTTTTAACAAGGCAGCCAGTCAATCCAGAGCTTGGAAAATGGTAGTATACAATAAATTATGACTTTTTGGTACATAAAACCACACAAATAAGTGTACATCAGTTTTGGGGGAGGAGGGAGATAAAATGCAAGAAATAAGGAATAGAATAAGCGTCCTTTTAAAGAAAAAAAAATTGGTATCAGATGATGCCTTAGGTTTAAGTATTGTGTCATGAAACAAAGTGGTATCGTATTATCTCTAAACCACTCAGCTCATCCTGACCAACAAACAATATTAGCTAAAGCCATTCAGACTGTAGAGTTTCAAAGGAGATCAATTACCTGTAGAGTTAGCAGAGCCACATGCAGGATTAAATGAGGACAAGCTTTTGCCTCCTGGCTCTGTGGTTGTTTATACTACGCGCTGTGGCAGTCGAGCGTTTGACGGTGTGCAATTTGCCCTTTCCAGTTTTGTCAGTTTGCTCATGACCTCATTTTTCATTATGACAAGGGTGGCGTGAAAACTAGGCCAAGCAGGCGTCCTAAAGTGGCAGTTTAGAAACAAGAAGACAAGATACAGGACACTTGTTGATTTAGAAGGTCTGTTATGTTCAGCTGAGCTGGGAATTTCTTGTGATGCTCATTAAAGAGAAAGATAACGAAGATGTAGAAAATGGTAAAATGCTGCTGGTGCACATTCAGCGGTTCTTATTCATGAGTCTGATTCCAAGATAAACATTTCTTATTTTGTAATATTGCTAAATTATTTTTAATATTGCCTCTAGATTAACATTTTAAAGGCCTTAAAACCTGACGTGCATTTTTGAACATGTCGAGCAGGTTAAGGCTGTCTTTCACGTTCAGTCTGTCCAGAACTGAAGGACTATGTTGCTGATACGTTGCCACTGTTCCATAGTCCACTATTAGAGTGCTTTACACCACTTCAGCTGACGCTTGGCAATGCACATAGTGATCTTAGGCTTGTGTGCAGCTGCTCGGCCATGAAAACCCATTTCGTTTTAAGCTCCCAACACTCAGTTCTTGTGTTGAAGTTGCCTCCAGAGGCAGTTTGGAGTGATGTAGTGAGTGAGGCAACAGAGGATAGTCACGTCCATTTCACAACGGTAGCACTTACCGTTATCTGGGGCGGATCTAGCAGGACAGACATTTCACCAATGATCATCCAATGATTAAAGTAACTGAGATGTTCAATGTGGCTCTTTCTATTGCCAGTGTTTGTCTATTGAGACTGCAAGGCTATCTGATTGATTTTATCCTCCTGTTAGCAAGGGATGTGGCTAAAACACCTGAGCTCAATAATTAGAAGGGGTGTCCACAATCTTTTGTCCATACAGTGTAAATTCATTACAGGGTGGCAATGCAACTGCATTGATTTTGAATGTTGTAAATGAGCTGTAAATGTCCATATTCCACTATTGTACTAAGTGTATTTTAAAAAAATAATTCTGAACCTTATCAAAAGAATCAAATCCAGTATGAAGAGGTAAAAGGTAACGTAACAGGACCTTCTATTTTGACTCTCTTACAGGTTTCCTCTACGCTACTACGGCGGTACCGCCTGGCCAGGACTGACACCAACACCTCTGTGTCTAATGGGGCAGGAGCCTCCAGTCAGGACGCGGCCGAGTCCCGGGACGGCTCGGGAGATGGAGACCCTGCCTTCCCACTGTCCTCTCTGGCAGGGTTGCTGGAGGGAGAGGAGGGTTCCCCTCAAGCCCCAGAACCTGTCCGGACCACCGGGCCACCGCAGGCAGATGGAAAACAGAACCTCCGTATCAAATTTCAGGGAGCTTTTAAGAAGGGCATCTCAAACCCGATGGACCTGCTGGAGTCCACCATATACGAGTCCCCTGTGGCACCGGGGCCCAAAAAGGCCCCCATGGACTCCCTTTTCGACTACGGCACATACCGGGCAAACAACAACCAAAAACGTCGCAGGAAGAAGCTTCCACGAGGGTGAGCACAAACGGTTCTCTTTGCAGTTGCGTGTACTTTTCAGAATGAAGGTTCTTTGGTTCGTTGCCACAGAAGAACGTTTTTGATTCTATAAAGAACGTTTCAGTGGGCAAAATGTGCATGTAAAGCAAATGGTTTGTCTTAGAACCTTTACTTTATGTGTTCTGTAAACTTTACGATGATTCCTGTTACATCTCACTTACAAGAAATGTATCTTGGATCCACTGAATGGTTCTTTGGGGAACCAAAAGTGGTTCTTCTTTTGACAGCTTGCTTCTTAAATTTCGCACTGGAGCTATGAGGCTAATGCAGCGGATGAGCTTTGGAAGCTTAAATCTCACCATTTAGCACAGTGCTAACTGCTTTCCATCTCTAATAGACTTATGTGTTTTTTGTCAGAATGTATTGTTATCTATAAAAAATATGTTGCATATTAAAAAAAATGCCTTGAAGCCTCAATTTTGTCCATGCATTACATTTCTGCCCATTTTGTTGGACAATTCTGTCTCTTATTACTCACAATGCTAATTGGGTGACTATAAGCTTCCATTACTTGTTAGCTACATTAGCCTCGTAGGTCTAGTGCAAAACCAAAGAAGTAAACTTCAGACACCAAACATGCCTTGGCTGGTCAACTACATTTGTGTAAGGATACAGTTGTATAAATTGATTACTCCACTGAACTGTTCCTTTAAAGGTGATGAGACGGTGACGACAGTGTTTTCTCAGTGATACTAATCCATAACCATTGTATAAGCATGTGTTTATACTGAAGCGTGCTGCGTTTTGTCAGTTGAGATGCCAGACCGTGTTTGGTAATATAGGGAAAGAGGCTGACTCTGATGGTGCCATTCTGTGGTTAAATGCATGAAGCAGCTGTTTTTAAAAGGCCGAGGAGCTGATTGGTGATATAATCTGGACTCTCAGTTCCTGATTTGTAAGTCAAATCTCCTCTATGCAGATAGAGGCCCAGAACTAGGTTCATCCTGGTGGAAGCCAGATCACAAAGAAGCATCATAACACGCACAGTATAGTAGATCAGGGACTGGATTTGTGATAGTAGGTTTCTCTGAGGAGGAACTGGTTCTCTCAGCTTGGCTGCATACATGTGGTTCATGTGGGAAGTAAACAGAAAGCATGGAGGTTGTGAAATGGTGAAGTTATAGTTTGTAAGCTAACAATTCTGTCCATTCTGGGGGGATTTTCTGGTGGGATTTTTCTGATTAAACCGTGACCAGCTGAAGGTAGCACTGAGAAATAAAATCAGATCATTTGTTATTCTTCAGAAAACACCCTTTAGATTTTCCCCTGAAAAAAGTTGTAAGAGCAAGAGCTTTTCTTGAAAAACATGGCTACTAATGAGACGTACTCAGAAATATCAGCCGTTTAACAGTAATAAACACAAAGTTAAGTGTTGAATTTTGGTCTAAAGTCCTTTCAACTGAATGTTAAACTTAAAATACCAGAATTCTACACTGAAGTCAAGTGTTCACTCAGAAGCTCTCCTGAGTGAGGTAGGTTAGCTAGCTAGCTAACAAAGTTTGTGTTATTTCCAGCAACTGTAGTTAATGTTGTTAATGCTGACTTATCACGTGTGCTACTCGACCATCTCTTCTATCTTTTGTTTGCTTCGATTTTTTTTTTGTGTGTTTGGTTCCTCCATTTTATTGTTGTCTTCAGGTGCTAAGCTATGCTAACTGGGTTAACCTAAATGCTAAAGCTAGCCTGAGGTAAAATGTAATGGATATTGATAAGACTGGTCATTTCTTCTTTGGTAGTTTTCTTCATGAATCTTCATGTCACTTCGGAAGGCACTGAAGTTAGAAGGATCCAGTGTCAGGTATGGGTTAAACTCTGCAGTAGTCCCCTCTAACAGGGAGCTAAGAGAGAGTCAAACACTGAATACGGGGGGTCTGTTTAGGGAGCTAAAAGTAAACGAACGCCCTTATGCTATAGGTGTGGCCCATATGTTGTTATTTCCCTGCTAGCCGTTGAGGTAATGTTTGCTCTGAGGTTCATTTTGACCATGTGGGTTTTCCTCAGTGTACAGAGGCTTATTGAAGACCTGACCGGCAGGGTGGAGCTTCCTTGGGCAGTACACTCACTGACTGACCACTATTACTGTCAGTACTGTTGAGGAGTCCATCAGTGTCCACTGAGACTTCATTAATGTAATTCAGGCGTCAAGGCTGCTTTGCTGTTTTCTCGGCTTTGTGTTGTCATACAGTATCAGAAACCACCAAATCAAGTCTATTTGAGATTCTTTGATATGGTTTGAGGCAACATTGTGATGGTTTAGGCCTTCAGTTAGCACCATGCTAATCGTTGAGGTATGCCTGCCTGCTAAATTAGCCTTGTAGCTCCAGTGTAGAACTAAAGAAGCAAAGTTCAAACACCAAATGTCTTGGCTGACTTATACTGAGGGGAGACTTTGAGTTTTCATAGTTAGCTAATTAGCTGCATGTTGTATATTAGAACATAGTCAATACAATACTGTTCATTGCAGATGTACTCAAGGATGCTATTAGCAACCAGCGGTTCAGCCAAACATTGTTCCTTGTGGTCGTCTCAGAGTTTTGCCTCCTGACAACCTGGAAAAATCTTAAATTCACGTCACACAGGTGTGCTTTTGGTTGCCAGATTACCCACAAACTCTGCCAGAATCCACATGTTTTTCAGTTTAATCCTAACACGGCCCTTTCTTCCCTCCACAGGAAGACGGAGAACGAGGCGTCTTGTGACGAGGGCTCTGCTGACCCCCCGAAGGTTCTGAAGGAGTTTAACCGCTCCATGCTGTTCGACGCCGTGTCCCGAGCGGACCCCGGCTCTCTGGACGGCCTGCTGCAGTACCTGCAGGCTCATGACAAGAGGCTAACAGACGAGGAGTTCAGAGGTGAATTCTGGGAGGCGTCTGATGTTACAGGAACTGTGAAAAAAATGTCAGTAGAGAACTCTGAGAGAGGATCCCGCAAGCGCAGCACAGCAGCAGCTCACAGCCATTATTCAGCAGCCAACCCATTGATATATATTTTAATAGGCCAATCAGAACTAAGATAATGTTATTGAAATGTGAAAAGAGAACCTATTTCATGCACCCAAGTTTCATTTTTGCGACCGGGACCATCAACTTTGTCTAAAATGAATGCGAAAACATGTTGATTTCTGTGGATTGTAACTGCTGCGAGAGCATATTGACCCTCTGTCACAGGTGGCAATCTTCGGGGTCCAAGCACCGTGTACCATTCTGGAGCCCATAGAACACAAATGATGGAGAACGTTTTTAGAATGGCCTCGATTTTTAATAGATGTTGGGTCTCAAAAGACTCAGTCAAATTTTGTACACGCTTACCTTTTGATCTTGGTGTGGTCAGCAAGTTTTAGACAAAAAAAAAACTCAAAATACCAAAATACTGAGAAACTGTACAATTTTGGACATGGCCTATTTTTGTGAAGTTGAACACAATGAACTTCACCTGGGAACAATGCTCTTGCACCCTCCTACAGAAATTCACTGCCCATTAGATGTCATGTCTTTGTACTCAAGTCTATTTGAGATAAGAACCTGACACACTTTTAGAAAAGTGTGACTTAGGCATGAAGTTTACATGATGCTTATTGGTGAGACATAAGTGTATGTTACTTTTTAGCTACATTAGCCTTGTAGCTCCAGTGTAAAACTAAAGAAGCGAACCTCAGACCTCAAACATGTCTTGGCTGATTGACTACATGTGGAATACGGTGGAGTAAACTGTGTAAATCTTGATTTTCCACCAAACTAGTCCTTTAACCTATATAACACATCCTCCTTCACTGCATATAGGAAAATCCATATCATCCAACTCTCCTTATCACTAACGCTGATGTGAGTCAGGAGGAAGAGGAAGCTGATGTCAGCAGTTTTGTCTCCTTAGGGCCTCAGCCTCTGCTTCCTGCCTCAAAGGCTTTTGGGAAAACATAGCAGATGGGAGTGAGAAATGACAGTAAACTGCCTCAGAGCTCTGTCTGTGATGTGTTGGAGCACCCACACACATGCCGACACTCACTTCTTCAGAGTAAACACTGGAGGTCTCGACCTCTGACCTTCATAAGGAGAGTTAGAGGGGTTCCTCTTAAAGGAACAGTTAAAGGAGCAGCTCAAACATACATGCCAACATTACTGGAACAGTTTGACAAAAATACAGTTTACACACTTGCCTTAGATGTTGTTGATCTGCCAAGCTGTGTTTGGTGGCCAAATTTTGCTTCTTTAGTTTAGAACTGGAGCTGTGATGCTAACTTTGCTAACACTAGAAGTCAATAGTCACCCAAATCCTTTCTGTAAATGCAGCCCCAGAACTTCTCTCAGCCTGTTCAAACAGCATCCAGGTTTCATTAAGGCTGCACAGTCTTGTTGATGTGGTTTAGGAGACTGTATAAGCCATAAAAATCATCATAACTTCAGACGTTGTGCTGAATCCCAACCCCTGTTCGATTGCAAGCATGTCATGGAAGCATGTTTGCTCTAGCGGTTAATCTTCTGCAGGGGAGTCAGAATTCAGACTGCAGTAACTGACCACTGATGAAGAAATAGATGGTGGCTAACACAAACTTTGCATCAGCAGAAGAGGTTTCCTATAAAGTGGCTGTGGAGTGTAGCAAAGTTCAGGGTCCACTTGATCAGTACAGGAGAATCAAATTAGTTAATGACCTGATTAACATTCAGCGACTTAATCTTTTCTCTTCACCGTTTATTTTGTTCCCTCCAGAGCCGCCCACGGGGAAGACATGTCTACCCAAAGCTCTCCTGAACCTGTACGGTGGGAAGAACGACACCATTCCCCTGCTGGTGGACATTGCAGAGCAGATGGGAAACCTGCGAGAGTTCATCAACACGCCCTTTAGAGACGTCTATTATCGCGGTACGGCATAACTGTTCATTTATAATGGGGGCAGTGATGGAAATGAAAAGATATCTTTTCAGTATTTAGTGTATCTACTCTTTACCTTTATTACATCTTTTAATTCTTTTCAGGAGACTCTCTTTCAGTTTTTCAAAGAAATCTGCAGGCACACCTCCAAAGTTCAGTAGCAGAAGTTGGTTGCACTTTCTGCTTCTTCTCGTATGTCTCTTTGAAGGGGATCATAATGTCAATGACTCCTTTGGTAGCAGCACAGAAGTCAAGAATGGAGAAATTAAAAACTGACAGCACTTATCAGGCACTCTTAACCAGCGCAGCCTACAGAAGTGAGCTATTGTATCACTTCCTTTCCTAGTTAGTACAAATAGGTTCGGGTCCAAACTACCCTTGAGCTCAGACACTGTCAGAAAACAAAAGCCCTTGCTTTTATAAGTGCCAGTAACGAAATAAATGGAGAGTACGGACAGAAAGCTCTGTCCGTATCTGTATTTAATGTTGAACATAAGTGAGCCTTTAGTAGGAGCCTACATAAGTCTTGTTTTGTGTATGAAATGTTGCCCTTTAGTCCACATTTTGGTCTCTTTTGAGTGCATTGAAGTAAATTCTGAGCATGTGGGAATTCAGAGAGGCCCACCTCTTTAGCCGCTTTTCCACTGCGTGGTTCCAGCTTGACTCAGCTTGTCTCGACTCAACTTGCTTTTGGTACCAGCTACTTCGTTTTCCACTGCAGATATAGCGCCCCCTCAAGGTAGCTGGTCGTCATAGCGACGCCAAACAAAACTGCCGAGAACAGGAGAGTTTTGGGAAAAACTGCATCAGAGTTCAGATGACAAGACGATTCTGGTCGCTCAAAGGCAACGCAAGAGGCTACGCTAACCAGGTAGCTAACGTTAGCATATGTGTTTAGCGATTCTCACCGACCAATCAGTCTGTAGCGTTTTTTACGTCACCTTTTGGTATCAGCTCAGCTCGCTTGATACCTCGACGGTCGAGTAGAACCGGCATTCTGACAAATTGTGCCACCTTGTCGAAGGTAGCGGTCTACATAAAACTACTGGTAGGATATTTTGATGGCCTAAATTACATTTTCAGAAAATGTTGCCAGCATTAAAAGAACAATTTGATTACCTGAATCAGCTTATCAGGAAGTAAATAATGATATTGATATAATGATGAGTCTGTGCTGAATTAACATTAAAAACATAAGTTATTATGCTATAGTAATGATGTGTGCATGCTCAGGAGGGCCACTCGATGAGTAGCACAAATTGTTAGTTTGTCTAAAAATAGGGCTTCTGAAAGCCACGCTGGCATCTCTTACTAAAGTGAGAAAGAGAAAGAGAGTGAAAGAGGTCAAGCCAGGTTTGGTGAAAGAGTTGCAGTGTTGCTCGAGGTCTCCACCCTCAGTAAAATGCAGCACACACGTCTGTACTTCTCCTCAGCCTCTCAAGTCAGTGTGTGTGTTTGTGCTCTCTGTGTTCTAGGACTGGATGTGAGAACGTTCAGGTTTGCCAGTAATGACACACCCAGCCTGACGTCACTTTCCTCCTACAGACATTTAGATTCAGTATCCAGTTTAACAGATTATTTAACTCTCTTTTCTGATTTAAAATGTCTTATTTATGAATTTTACCTTTCTGTGACTGGGACGATGATTTGGAGGGGGCCGTAATGAGGGATAATTATTCTTAGATGGTTGTAGATTTCTTTCAGTTAGCCCTGCTGCTCAATCCTTTCAGCTTTTCCTTGCTGACTTTCCTCAGGATGTGATTATTCACAGATGGGCTATTAAGTTTGGCATAGTTTAGTCTCTATTCTAGACGAGATTTCTCAACAGCAGCTGAATCGGGTGCTCTTACAGTGGAACTGTGTGGAGGGACTCTAATTGGTGCTAATAAAAAACATTTGACTGACAACAATAAACAGTGGGTAAATCCACCTTACATCACCAGATTTAAGCCCCAGACTGGCCACCTCAGCCATCTCAGATTTGCTTGAAGAACAGTTAACCCTAGATCCATTTTTTTCCCATTGAAACCTGAAATACATTGCTTTGTAATACTGAATAGAATCAGTCTGCAGTTGCACTGAACTGTCAAAAGAACTTCATTATTGTAGTTCAGCCTCAGCAGCGCCCCCTCTGTTTCAGCTTTGCTACTGAAGTACAAATCCATGTCACAATATTTAAAACAGTGAACCAGTGTTACTTGCATTTTTATAGCTTTGTTAGCCTGTTTATACCACAAAAAACCACTACTGCAGTAATGCTAATTTCTACTAGCCCATGGGAGACTAGCCCATACTAGTCTATTGGAGTTTCAGTGTTATGTTAGCTAACAGTGATGAAAGCGAACCAGTGTTACTTGCCCCTTTTCACCTTTGTTAGCCTGGCTGTATGAGAAATAACCACTACTGCAGTAATGCTGATTTCTGCTAGCATGTCTATGGGAGTGTTATGTTAGTGAACGTTCACTACACTGTGAATTTATGTTTTTAAAACTTTTACAATGTTTACATTGTACATCAATTATTGTTTATTAGACAATTATGATTTTTTTTTCTATGATATGAACCGTTTAAAGGGCCCATATCATGGAAAAATTACTTTTTTTGTGACGTGTAAACATTGTTAACGTTTTTAAGACCTGCCCAGTCTTTACAGTCAGATATGGAAAATAAGCCTGTTTTGAATTCACTGTTTTCGTGATGCCCCAAAAACCAGCACGTTTACATACATCCGGCGATGCAGCCTACAGCAGTTTAGCCCAACCCACTCACGCTTAAGTTATAATAAATGTTTGCATTCTGAGTGGTTTTTAAATGAAGTAGCCAATCAGAAAAGAGCTCATTTACATATATCAGGTTTAAAGGCACAGTTTGTTTAATTCTATGGTATAAAAAGGTTGGGAAATTGTCATGTAAAAGTAAATTATGACCATATTTGCCACATAAAACCACACAAACGTTGTAAGTGGACTTTAAGGGAAAAAATAAACTAGAAGAAAAATACAGGATACTGTCGTATCTTGGCAACAACGTGCCTTCAAAGCGTGTCTCAGATGTGATACGGTTGCAGATCTTCATTACAACGCTGCCTACTAAGGCATCTACTTACTGGGCAGCAAGGCACCAAGACAGCTGACTCAGTTTGGGGCACAGCAATGCTGAGCAAAATCATGGCTTCACATTTTCATTAGTTTTCTAAGATATTGGGGTTCTAAAAGTGGGCGTGGCCTTAATTATTGCTACGGAAAAAGCTGCCAACTTTTTAAAGGCCATTACTTATGAAGTATAGATGCTAAATGAATGGCATTTTCCATGATTATTCATTGGTTCAGGATGGGTTTATCCACCAAAACAGAAGATGCATGTTTGCTGTTTTATGACCCGCCCAAATGTCTTGACTGATCAGGTCAATAAACTGTGTAAATTTGATTCTTCCAAAACGATTTCCTTTCCAGATTTCTCCGCAGTGGTTCCACAGCGAGGCCGTCAGAGGAGCGATGAGCTGGGCCGTTACTGTGTTTAATGGGGTGGGAGTCGTACCCTCCAGATTGCTGTTGTTTAATGGGCTGCTAAATGGGCAGACAGTGAGAGGACGTGGTGTTAGCGTTAGGCTTAAGGAACGACAGCCTGCGTTTCGTCAGCGACTCGAAAAGTTCACGACTTCTGCTTAGACACAGAGCTTCGGAATGAAAACGGAGAGGAAACTTGAGATCATAAATCCCCCCCTCCACACCCCCGCCGTCATACTCTATCACACAAATGCTGTTTTTGGCTCAGGATTAGCTGCTTTTTCCTGTTTTGCTGTCAACACGGATGGTACACATTGTTTAGGAGTTCCAGCTGCTCTGTCTGATATGTTATCAGTGAAATGAATCTCGTGATGTGTGCGATTAAAATGTTTGCTGATGAATATGTAAAAATAACAACGTTTTTATTTTATAGGTCAAAAGTTTGGGGACGTCTAGCTTTTCAGATTGTTTTTAATACAAATAAGTTATTTTCAAAACGACATAATTAGGGCATTAACATGTAAAGTCTTTCAGAGCAGCTCTAGGTTCTAAAGTCTGAATTGTTCACAGTGGTCGCAATGGGGAACCAGACGTCTGAAGAGTTTGAAGGGGAATGGCATCGATTTTTCAAAATTTCTTCATATTTCAGCAGTTGAGATGTAAACAGAGTGATTCAGAGTGGTTTGGTGTGAAATGGTTGACTGGAAAGACTCAGATTTCTTTACAGTTGTGGTGATAGGAACCATGGGTCGCCATGACTACAACACAAATATAGACATTTTATTTACTATCCAAAACCACCAGTTTTATATGGAATGTTGATGATGGAAAAATATGTGGTGGTGATGGGACCCCTGGTCACCACTACTGTAAAGAAATCTGGAAATCTTTTGAAGACAAAGCTGAACTTTTTTGCAAAACCTGCTTTTCATACTAAGGAAGATACTTTGATGAACATTAGTATTGAAGCTAAACATACCCCAAAGCATTATCACACGTCTGCTTTATAAGCCCTAAACTTTGTGAGATGTTTTCCACTTGAAATGTAACAGTGTTAAATTTCAAATTTTAAAAATGGGCTGTTTGTCACCAAACTTTTGACTGACTGTGCATTACCTGTAGTGGGGTTAAACTGCAGTAGTTTGTTTTTACTGTTTGTGCTGTAGGTCAGACGGCGCTGCACATCGCCATAGAGCGGCGCTGTAAGCAGTACGCCGAGCTGCTGGTGGAGAAAGGAGCGGACGTCCACGCTCAGGCCCGTGGACGCTTCTTCCAGCCCAGAGACGAGGGAGGATACTTCTACTTCGGTCAGTCAGCTTCACCTCCAGCTCACCACTTTATTGTTCTCTCCTGTAGCTCCATCTTGCTGGTGTCCAGTTAGAGACATTAGTTTACCTGTTGAGGCACAGTTTGCGCTATCTGTCCTTTAGTTCTTCATCAGTGGTCAGTTTTTGACCACAGAGCTCCTCTTGTACACCTACACAGTGGAGCTTAAAGGTGGGTGTTTCTAATAAAGTGGCCAGTTAATAGAAGTACAAGTTAGGTGTTTTTAATAAAGTGGCCAGTGAGTGGAAGTAAAAGGTAGGTGTTTCTAATAAAGTGGCCAGTTAGTGGAAGTACAAGGTAGGTGTTTCTAGTAAAGTGGCCAGTTAGAGTGAGTGGAAGTATAGGGTGAGTGTTTCCAGTAAAGTGGCCAGTTAGAGTTAGTGGAAGTATAAGGTGGGTGTTTCTAATAAAGTGGCCAGTTAGAGTTAGTGAAAGTATAGGGTGGGTGTTTCTAATATAGTGGCCAGTTAGTAGGTGGAAGTATAGGGGGGTGTTTCTAGTAAAGTGGCCAATGAGTGTACCCTTCTTATAACAGACTCCTTTATTGTATTTGGAAGGAAAAGGAAACAAAATCAGGAAGTTCATATGAGTATAATGTACCGTTAACTTCTCTTTGTAATGTTTTCCAGCAGAACACACCCATCTCTAGTGACCACTATGGTAATGTTCTATTGTTCTGTTGTACAGATGCAAAAACCCTGTTTACTTCCAAAACATGAGTGATACGAAAAAAATACAAATACCTGCATTTGAATGTGAACTATATGTTACATATAAATTGTATAGCGCAGATAAATACATACTAAAAAAGAACATGAAATTACAGGCCTTTTTTCTGTTTTCGAAGCCATGTGGCGTATCTTGTTTCATGATAGGGACATTAAACTTGTGTTTTCTGTGCCAGAAACTAACTTTATATCAAGCGACAGTTTTATCCCCTGGAGTCTACCTTTCTGCGGCAGTTTTGACTTTTCTGTATGAGGGTATATTGAGTTACCTAGTGTTCAGGAGGCCTGCGCTCCACTGATGTTTTAACACTTTCAGAAATGAGTTATTTAATCAGGAGTTTCACCAGCCTCATTCGCCTCACTGTTGATGAATGGGCAAGTTGCTTTTTACAAACATTGCATGGTCTAATCAATCAACTACAGTGTCCACAAAGAAATGAACAGAAAACATTATTTTTTTGCAGATTTTAGTGCTCGGTTTATTTGGAAACATATTGGGAAGAAGAACAACACATAACATATAAAGTGTACCATAACTTTTGCACAGGCCCCATTTATGTTTTATTTTTCTCCCCAATGTGTTAAATTCAGCAAATAAACAGTATTTCTATAGAGGATGTGTGTTAACTTATTTACACTAAGAAAATCAGTGACCATGTCATTTGACCGGGGGTGCCCAAAATTTTGCACATGATATATATATATATATATATATATATATATATATATATATATATCACATGATATATGTATATAAATGTATAAATAGGGTGTAATTTTTTCCTTTGCATTTAAATGTCTAAATAGACTTTTCTTACACAATTTTCTGCCAAATTAAACTTTAAATTTAAACAGTTTTCTTTCAGTGACTTTTTTTTAACTTTCTATGACTTTTTTAACTTTCTTGCTCTGTTAATTTCTGCTGCCAGTGTCACTGTAAGAGTCGATATCCCAGATCAGGCTCCCTCTGCCCGTGTAATTGTATTTATTAGGAGATAAAATGGAAGAAATGATCCTTATTCAGCATTATTACTCTCGGAAGGTCAATAATAGTGTCCCTGCATCTGTTCCTGATGGCAGTGATTGTATTTAATGTGCAGGTTTGGCTCTGATCTGGAGCAGTGATGCTGACTAAAGGCATAGATGTCGTTTTCAGTCTGTCATCTTTGGCACATTAAAAGAGTGACTCGACTGTTGTTGTGCCAGTTATTACATCATTTGATCGTTATTAATTCTGCTGACTGCTTTAGTGGTGATGTCAGTAAAACCACGCGGTGCGCTCTGTGCTTTAGTGATTATAGGCCTGCGATTCTCCAGTTTGGGCTCACTGCTTCACGATGATGTAGGAAAACGCCATATTTTTAAAGGAAAAGTCTGGCAACAATTTAATTCAATCAGTTTTTCCCTCTTGTCCCAAATGTAGACAATCAGCCAAGATATTTCAAGTGAAATATGAGGCTAATGGAGCTAAAAAGTAATGGACAAAAATGGACAAAAGTATGGACAATATTCAGCTTTCAAGATGGCTGCTAAAACAGTTTTTAGCTATGTGGCGTCCACCCTTGTCCATTTCCATAGGTGACAGTATACCGTACAGCAGGCACATGCTCAGATAGACCCCTGAAGGGGCTTCTACCCTTTTATGTGCAGACTGTTTGTTTGTTTGTTTTTTCATCCAGTTCCACCCACTGGTTAGGTCTCCGTCTATCACACAATGCTACCAAGCTGGGAGGCTGAAGGCCGACACGTGCTTCCTCCAAACAAGTAAAACTCCACCATAAACTTATGCTTATGCAACAGCATTGAACAGCTCAACACGCTTGGAGGAGAATGCTAACTGCTACTTCTGCTACATCAGCTAACAGACACCCACATTGGCTAGCATCTCTCTGAGTGATGGGGGGGAGAGGGAGGTCCATCCTAGCCACCGAGAGAGAACAAGGATAGTATGCTTGTAGGGACTCCCGGCTGTGGCATCACCTGGAATCGAACCCATAATCTGCTGACGCTTAGGCCTCGTTCACACATGCTGCTACTATGTGGCGTAAGCGACGTGGGAACATGAGCGCTACAGCTTGAATGTGCTGGCCTTTCATACATACAGCATTTGAGCTGCGGAGCAGCAAGAAATTCTTACAGATATCCTTTTTTTCAGACAGATAAACGGTCACATCAGTCACTCGGCTCAACAAAATAACGTTTATAAAAGTGCATGGTATGTTTGTTTATCCTCGACAACATTCTGACTTGTGATTAGGCAAAAGTTTCAAGCCTGGTAGACCAACCGGAAAGTCTGTCTGCAGCACAGAACGTGTAACTAGTATTTGTATAACTAGTATTTCGTCATGAGTTCAATTAAATTAAAAGAAGACAGTGTTTTTAACTTTGTACACTGTTTTCTAATTGATTTTCACTGATTGGCTTATTTCACTGTATTTTACTGCGTGAAGCACGGAAAGACCGGCACCGGGTCTATTCTCGGAATGAAAAGCAAGACTCACGCGGACGCAGCATGTGTGAATCGGCCCTTGGACTTTGCGCCACTCATAAACCGCTATATTTCCGTCATCATAAAAAAATGCAGGTTTATGAGAAGATCTGTGGCTCTTGTAACAAACCCTCATTCTCAAAGAGAGTTGTAACTCACATTTCTCACTTTTATTGTCGTCAAATGGAGTATTGGAGCCTTGAAACCAAGAGGTTGCTGGTTCGATTCCCCTGTGCTTGCGAGTTTTATACAGATCTTATATCTTTAAACATCCCTTGGATGGCTCTAGTATGCCATGATACAGATACATGTAAATAGCAGCAATGATACAGAAGTAAATTCAAGATGCAAGTCTTTGTAAATGTTAAGCGTCTGGTTTTCATAGTCAGCTCAGCTGCTCTACTGATAGCCGGGATGTATTGCTATTCCAAGTTCAGTTCAGTCACGAGTGAAATAACCTGACAGGTGGACTTGTTTTTAGTCTTGTTCAGGATTGAGGACGTGCACGTTGTTTCAGCTTCATACTAAATTCGTGTAAATTTACAGCCGTTCATATTTTCTAGAAAGCTGTTTAGCCGGCCTTCTATCTCTGTTTATCTTCGTTTCTCAACTCTGCGGCTAAACGACTGACTGAGGACACTCAGCTTCTTCACCTGAATGTTCCTCAACAGTCATTCTAGTAAACATATGTTTGCCTTGCGCCATTTTTTTGTTGTAGTGGGGATTTTGTCTGTGTTTGACGTTACCTAGGTATGATATTTTTATAGCTTAATGTCTAAAACTAAGAAACTGCCATTTTTCTTCTGGTTTTATGATTGTTGTCCAGTTCTGGGGTGGTTTAAACCATTAACAAACATATGAAGTCAGACCTACACATTTACCTTCCTCTGAAACATGGTTAAACCATCTCTCTGGATAAAAAATGCATGCGTCAAAATATCAGTGTCGCACATACAGTGTAAGAAACCACATAAGCGAGTCTGTTAGAAATACTTAACAGCTCCACATGGTTTGATGCAAGTGCCTCATAGCTCTGAAAATAATTCTGTGCCTATATATTGGGTCTGTAAGGTGGGTGGAGCTTATAAAGTGACCAGTGAGTGTTTATGGCTACGCTCAGCACCAAAGAGTTCTTAAGAAATGTTAAATTCAGTTGGCATGGTAACGTCAGACGGTTTGAAGTCTCCACCCTGAACTGCTTTTGATGGCAGGAGTACAGTTAAGCCATTCAGGGCCTGTCAGACGCTAAGCAGAGATGCTCTGGGGGCTGTGGAGGATCAACATGACGTTATGTCGCTAATAAAACACTCTCAGCTTAGCGGGGGGAAAACAGGAAAGGAGTGAAAGGTGCCCCTGTGCTGGCTGTGGAAAAGAGTGGGAGTAATGAAGATCTGGCCATTAACCCTGACCAAATACCTGGCCAGCAGAGCCTTTTTGGGGCATTTAAGATTGACGCTTACTGCCCCCTGGTGAAGAAACAGTGCTAATGCAGATCCATCTGTTACAGCTAGACGTCATAGCCTGTACTTCTCTTCTGGACAAACTGGAAAAATAGCATCAAAATGCATTAAATATACAATGCATTGGTTACTATTGCTGTCCATTCATTTCAGATGTAGAGTGTTTGACATTGTCTTTTACCTCTTAAATTTGACATTATATTTAGGCCGAATTGACTGTGACGTGCAGGTAAAGATACAGTTGGTGTCTGAAGTTTGTTTCTAAAGTTTTGTACTGGACAAACGTACTTTACGTAGCTAAAAACAGGAATAACAGTGTCACAGTGTCAGGAACCACACAAGCAAGTCTTTTGGTGTATCTTATAGCTCATAATACCTCCTCAGTTTCTCTCTCCTACTTTCTCCACCCTGTGACCCAGAAATCGGTCAAAGTCCACCGTCTTTAAGGACAAATATGTATTTTAAATGGGCTCAGAGGTATTAAAGAGAGGAAAAAATAGGCTTCCAGAGTGAGGATGCACACAGTACTCTGCAAAAGTCTGAGAACATCTGTCGTTAATTTCCAAAGTTCTTTATTTTTCAGGAGAGTTCAAAAAATGATTTACAGTTATAGAGAAAGTGGGACTCCTAACAACCGCCTGGAAGACCTGGTAGACACCAAAACTGCCCCCATCAGATAAACAGCACTTAAAGCTTTCATCTTTGAGAGAGAGGAGAAAATCAAACTGCTTCAGATCTGAAAACATCCACAGGTGTTTCTGTCCATCCTTCCACTGTGAGAAGACGGCTCAGCGCTATGAGTCTGAAAGGATGTGTAGCTGTCAAGAAGAACCTCACTGAGCACATCAAACAAAGAAGCTGAACAATGGACTGACCACCCCAGAGTCCAGACCTCAACACCACTGAATGTGTTTGATTACTTCAGAAAATGATCAACCAGCTTCTAAGACTGAACTTTGGAGGTGTGGAATGCAGATTTCTTTGAGGAACTGAAAGTGGGTCTCCTGAAAAGAACGGACGCTGGGATAGATGGAAGCTGACTTTGCTGTACGTTTATTTTAAAGGGCTGAAAAAAGTATAAATTTGCTTTCCAGCGTTTCCTCATTACGACACGAGCTGTTAACTTTCAGAAATAAAGAAACTGACACAGCAGAACAGCAGGAGTCGGTTCTGAAAACAGACGAAACGAGCGCTGCTTTCCTCCGCTAGCTCTCATTATCAGGATCTCTCGCAACTCCCCATCTTCATAGCGCTGAAACTGATTTCCTCTTGCATTAGGCATGGCTGGCGCTGTCTAATCCCCCCTCCATTACCCCTCCAGCCAGCCAGATCCCAGAGCGGGTGAGTAATTTGCCGCGGAGCTCAGACCTGGCGCGACTGACGGGCTAATGTGATTTAGCGATCACGCTAACCGCTCTCCGAGCGCGTGCAAATCAATGAGGAGGAAGCGTTTCCATGCGAAGTGACATGAAAGTAATCTGTCACCCCTGGCAACAGCTCGCTCTCTCTCTCTCTCTCTCTCACTCTCTGCATCTTCATAAGCCTCTGTTTGGTCTGCTTGTCTCTGAAGGGCCTCCTCATAAGAGAGGCGCTAATTGTGCGCTTGATAATGTTAGCGCTCGGATCAAAGCGCATGTCTTGCCGCCGCTCTGATCCCTGACAAAAGAGCATCTTTGGCAGGATTGACTTTTCCCGGCTAATTGTCTCAGCTTTCATTGCAGCCTCTGCTCGCTGATTAAGGGAAGTCGAGTGTTGGTTTTAGCTTTAGGTTGAGAACATCTGGAGGTTTCGGTCTCAAGCCTGTTTATTAATTGCTGTGAAATGCTGATAAGTTTGGTGGGTTTCTTGGATTTTCATTCACGAAATCCATAAGGCAGCAGTCCTGACAGCAAAGCTGCACTGAGATAATTGGCTTGTTTACACAGTGTGTTCATTTGACTTTTGATCTTATACACTCCCTGGTCACTTTAATAGAAACGCTGACCTTGTAGTTTCACTCACTGGCCAGTTTATTAGAAACATCCACCTTGTGCTTGCACTTGCTGGCCACTTTATTAGAAACACCTATATTGTAGCATACAGTTCTCTGCTGGAATTTCTACTGAAGCTGTTTTCTGTTGTTCTGTCTTGCTCTGTTTCTCTTCTGCTGGTCCAGGTGAGCTGCCGCTCTCTCTGGCCGCCTGCACTAATCAGCCTGACATGGTGCACTACCTGACGGAGAACAGCCATAAGAAGGCGGACCTGCGGCGCCAGGACTCGCGGGGGAACACGGTGCTGCACGCGCTGGTGCACATCGCAGACAACACGCGTGACAACACGCGCTTCCTCACCAAGATGTACGACCTGCTGCTCATCAAGTGTGCCAAAGTTTACCCAGACTGCAACCTGGAGGAGGTGCTCAACAACGACGGCATGTCCCCCCTAATGATGGCCGCCAAGCTGGGCAAAATCGGGGTGAGAGGAGAAGAGACGACTGAACATCTTCAGATTATAATTAATAACTGAATTAATAACTTCTGTAGGTTCAAGACTTTATTCAGTCAGAGCTTCAGTAGTGAGACTTTACTCTGATCAAAGCCTGGATGGATAAGAGTGAAAGATGAATGAAGAGAAAAAGAGATGCAGTGATGGATGAATGCGTGAAAGGATGGATGAATGGATGGATGAAGAGATGAAAAATGCATGGGTAAAAGAGTAGAGGGATGAAAAATAGGAGAGATGTGTAAAAGGGAAAAGGCATGGATGGATGGATAGGCTCTTTAAGTGAACGGATGAATAAAATAGAAGGATAAAAAGACAAAGGTTTTAATTGATGGATGGGTATGAAAAGAATAAAGAAAAGAATGTCGAATGAAAAGGATGAACAGATGAATGAAAGCAGTAATAGCTTGAAGAATAACAGGATGAAAAAAGTTTGATGAAAAGAGGAAAAGCTGCGATGATAGATGGGTGCATGACTGGATGAGGGAATGAAAGAATGACTGGCTCAGAAAACAAAGGGATGAACAGATGAAAGAACAGATGATGAAAAGGTGAATTAATGGATGTATTAATAGGTGGATGAGTAAAAGGTTGAAAATAAGGTTGGATGAAAGGACAGATGGATGGATGAAAAGATGCAATGGCGGATGGATTGATGAGTCAACGAAAGGATAAATGAATAAAAGAATAGATAGATGAAAAAATGGATGTATAAATGGATGAAAGTAGTAATGGATGGAGGAATGAAAAGATGAAAAGAAGACTAGGCAGATAAAAAGAAGAAAGGATGCAGTGATGGATGGATGGTGAAAGAGTAGATGGATGGAAAGATGGGCGGGTGGATGAAAGGATGGATGTATGGATGAAGGGATAAAAAGAAGGATGGATGATGGATAGATAAAAGGATGCGTGTATGATGAAGGGATGAATGGATGAAGAGAGGATGTCGTGTTTTCTCTGACTGAGATGTTGAATGTGTGTGAATGGTAACTCTGTATGGGACGTCTGGCCTGTATGAGTCGTGTATAGTTGCTATGAAGCCCTGGTTCAAGTGAAGCATCAGACAGTTACAGTATGTAATAATAATATCTGGTCGGTTGTTTGGAGTGAAAATCTGCTGATTCTGATGTTGACAGATTCCCATCATGCCTTCCTCCTGTGTTCTGCCTGTATCTCGTCCTGCAGGTGTTCCAGCACATCATCCGGAGAGAGATAAAGGACGAGGAGGCTCGTCACCTGTGCCGAAAGTTTAAAGACTGGGCTTATGGACCCGTTTACTCCTCGCTGTACGACCTGTCCTCTCTGGACACCTGCGGAGAGGAAGTGTCTGTGCTGGAGATCCTCGTCTACAACAGCAGGATCGAGGTAGCTGAGGAGATCCTGCTGATCTAGTAGAGCTGTAAAAGAGCACTGTTGGGTTGTGATGTGTTCGTCTGAAGTGGTGATTCAACTCTGTTTTGAAGTATTATAATTGATAATAATAATAATCGATTTTTTTGGGATTTGTTGGGATTCTCAGGTTGTTTTTTGCATATGGTGAAGACTTTAAATGAAAAAAAAATAAACTATGTAAACACCGCTTTAAAAAAAAAGTAAATAATTGGTTTCGCTTTACAATAAGATTATCAATATAAAGGATTTCTAAATGGTTTACAATAAGACTGTCATTATTAAAGCGATTATGAATGGTTTACAGTAAGCCTACTGTTATAAAGTGTTTATGTTTGCATTAAGACTACCCTTAAAAATCGTTTATGAATGGTTTATAACCCTGCCCTTATAAAGCTTTTATAAATGGTTTACAGTAAGATTACCCTTATAAAGGGTCTTATCAACGGTTCACGATAAGACTGCCAATATAAAGCGTTTATGAATGGTTTACAATAAGACTACCCTTATAAAGGGCTTATAAATAGTTTACAGTAGGCCTACCCTTATAAAGGGGAAGTAATTTAAAAAGCAGGTATAACACATGAGTAAAAGGGCAGTAGTGAACTGTTATAGCTGATGAATATTACTATCTGATGAAGCTGACAGGTTTAATGCAAAGTAAGATCAGTAACCTGCAACATCAGTGTAGGTGAATGGGGGCTCACTATTTGGCAAGCAACAGGTCAGTGTCGCCTGTTTTATTTATGCATTATGACTGTTTATTCATATTTTTACAGTATTTATGACCATATTAATAATTATTAATAAACTATTTATAAGGGTATTCTTATTGTAATCATTCTAAATTTAAATTTTTTTAATTGTTGCAAAATTAATGTAAAATTCATTTAAAAATTTATGTAAAATTAATTTCCTAAATCTTAGTGAGGTCAGAGTTTTATAAACCTTAATGATTGAAGGTCAGTTTTAGTGAGGTCACCTATAAACAGAAGAACATCTGATCCTGAACCAGCTCTTTTTCTCTGAGACTCTATGTAAACAAGGACATCTTCTACTGAAGTCATTTTGTTTACAGACACAACAGAGAAGTGGATGTTGGTGTAACTCTGTGTGTCTATAGTATAAATACAGACAAACTTACAAAGAAACAGTCGTCACGGGGACGAGCTGGTGTTTGTTTCACATGAACACAGATCGGTTCGTCTTTGTGGAATAAACAGCCCAAATTGTCCGAGTGAAACTGACCGTTTGTGACCGTTTTCCCTCAGAACCGTCACGAGATGCTGGCTGTGGAGCCCATTAACGAACTGCTGAGGGCGAAGTGGCAGAAGTTTGGAGCCGTGACCTTCTACATCAGCGTGGTTTCCTACCTCATCACCATGATCATCTTCACCCTTGTCGCCTACTACCGCCCCTCAGAGGGCACGGTGAGAACTGCACTCACACTGCCCACACAGCACTGCTCGAAACGTGCAATATAATTTAATTTAAATAAATCTAATTTACGTTCCTGTACAAATTCACAGCTTTTAAAATATTTAGATGGAAGTAATGGAGGACAAAAAACTAAAGAGGTGTCCAGATTGATCAACAGAACTGTAGATGACTCTGAAATGACCGAGAAAGCTGTACAGTTCTAATAAAATTAACATCAGAATTAATTTCTCATAAAATTAACATCCAAAATTAATTTGTAATAAAATTCATATCCAGAAAGAAGTTATAATAAAATGAACATCCAGATATAATTTTTAATACAATTAATGTCCAGAATCAAGTTCTAATGAAATTAATACTCAGAATGCCTCATATTTCAAAGGTGGAGATCACATATTAATTAATTAATAACTGTATTATAATGTAATAACTTCCAGTTGTTTCTTTTGGGAATAAATGTATAATATTTAAATCTTCATTGTTTAAGTTATTATTGTGTGTCCACGTAATGTCTGTATGAACTCTTACTGACCCTCTTCAGCCTCCGTATCCGTATGTAACCACGGGAGACAAACTGCGTTTGGCTGGGGAGGTCATCACCTTCGCTTCTGGAGTCTTTTTCTTCTTAACTAATGTGAGTTGTTTCTCTCTCTCTCTCTTTCTTTCTCTCTCTCTCTCTCTCTCTCCCTCTCTCTCTCTCATTACCTTAACTGCTCACCCAGTACAGCGGTACAGAAAACTCATCATGGCTCAAGTCAGTAGTTTTAGGCAGGGTAGTAAGTACTGTTTAAGGGGCTACTTTTGCCCTCACTGACTAAAATGTCCCAAAAATTGGTGTGAATTAATTTCCATCAGCTCTGAACAAGACAATAAGACTACTTGTGAGAAATAGGAAGAGAGTTTACAGATAGATCTTCAACGTTGAGCAGCTTTACGCTACTTTTTCGTTTAATTTTATGGCTGTATTTTATACGCACTGGCTAACATAACGGCTCAGGAACTTTCCCTTTGATATGATGAAGGACTGTTTTAATTTCTCTCTCAGTGAACTGGTACCGGCTGCCTTCTGTCAGGTTCTGCAGCTACAGCCGAATCACCTGACACAGTTACAGTCGTGTGCAGAAGTCAAATTCCATGTTGTGTTGATTTTTCTAAGTGGAAATAAGTTACACATCCTCTACAGAGACACTTCTCTGCACGTTAATACACAGTTACTGTTTATTTGCTAAATTTAACATTGGGGGAAAAATAAGACATAGAATGTGGCCTGTGCAAAAGTTATGGCACATTTTATATTTTGTTCTTTTCCTCTCTCTCTCTCTTTATGGGTGGGCAGGATGGTCCTCCCTCTCCCACCAAATTACTAAGCACAATGCTAGCCAACACAGGCGTCTCTTAGCTAACATAGCAGAATGGGTAGTTAGCATTGTCAAAGTTGCGGTGGGGTTTCTAATGACTCCTAGCTGGTGGTATTGTGTGATCGGGAGAGACCTAACTGGGTGAAACTGGACATGACTAACTGGGGAGAAAACTGGGAAAAAGAGTCAAAAACTGTATATTATTTATTGGTCAAATGTGTTTCCTTAGTTATTTCTTGCAGTTTTTACAGCAGTTTAGCCCCGCCCATTCCCTGTGAAGTAATGTGGAGCGTTGTTCCTGCAGTCGGTCTTCAGCAGAGTTACTGGAGTTATTGAAGTTGTAGGAAAATGATTAAACGTTGTTCTGTTCATGGCTGTCAGGAAGTGTGATCCACTTTAATTGAGCATTATTTTTCCAACAAATATATAGATGTTTTTTACCTCAGCATCCCAAAATACACAGAAAAATGGATGGATGGAAACCTAGATTTTGCCTTTTTTAGCAGCTTCTTGTAAGATATAATGTCCATCTTTACCTACAGATGCATGGATCCACACTGCCAGGTTAAGTTAAGAGGGCAAAACAGTGAGTGTTTGCTGTTTTATTAGTGTTGATATTGATTTGTTACATCGATAATGAGGTATTATGGGGTCATTTTTGCCCATGTAGTTGTGTTTTTAAGAAGCAGGAGACATTTTGCCTCTAACTCTGATTTGAGCCCAGTTGAAGATGCTCCATTTGGACTATTCGCTCGCCTGCAAGACTAAACATAATGTCAAACCGTGGTTCCCCCACACTGCTGCTCTTAGCAAGAAAATATATGTTAAACTATCTAAAACATGTAGTCCTAACGAGTTAATGAGGAAAAATTTGCCAAAAAAAGTGTTTTGTGTCTCGAGCAAGGAGAGGTGTTAACCACGCGCCATTAAAACCGTCTCAGACTCTCAGCCCCCACTTCAGTTCGCTTTAATTGGATTGCTTACCCCATTTCATTTACATGATAGTGCTGTCCCTATTCCGTCTCCTCTCCTTCCTCTTCTCAGCATTAAATACTTTACGTTTCTTAGTGTTTCACAGCGTTTTAGGAAGATCTCTCTCTTTCTCACTTCCTTTTAGGTTAAGGACCTGTTCCTGAAGAAGTGCCCGGGGGTGAATTCGTTATTTATTGATGGATCCTTTCAACTCCTCTAGTAAGATACACATACTCCCTCTCTCTCTCTCCCTCTCTCTCTCTCTCTGTCTCTCTCCCTCCCTCACTGTGTTCTTCCTGAGGCAAATTCCTCCTCTTTTTTAATTGAGCTGTCTAATTAATTCCACAGCCCCCGACTTGGCATGTTTTTATAGTTTACATCTCTTTTAATAAAAACCCACCATCCGAGCGAAGACGCTGAGCGCAGTTCACAGTCGTGTTTCGGTTTCATCTGAATAGCTAAATTCGGCGAGGCCCGGAGCATCTTTCAGACCAAACGGCGTTCTTTCATATTCGAAATATCTGCAGTCCCAGGCACAGATAGGTGCAGCGATAGCCTCTATCGAGCATAAACACTCTGAAGTCCCTTCAAAATCACATTACATGTGTTATATAACTATGCTAATGTGTTTGTCTTGTAAGGCAAACAAGAATATCACTAATATTTAAGGCCCAGATTCCTGGCCGCGTTGGCGTCAGTATGGCTTTAACGCTGTAATGGCAAAATGCTAAAACAGTGGTTCTCAGTTGTTAGACGCTGTGGTGGACTTCAGTCTGGGACTAGGGTCACACTTTTTCCAGGTTATTTGCCTCTACAACAAAGTTTTAAGACTGCAGCCTTGAAGGTTAAACGGTCAGTTCTAAAAGTTATGCTGACCTGCTGAAAAAGTAGAAACAATTCTTAATAATCCTCACCAAAGCTGCGGTGAAGTTACCAGCTCCACTGAACATCACCAGCCAATTAGCGTCCAGGCCAAAACCAAACTTAATGAGGTTTGAAGTGCTGTGGTTTTGCAATACTGAAACATTAGCTAAATTAGCTTCCAGCTTGGTACAGTTGCTAATTGGATCTGCAGTTTTTCTACACTTTCTCTCTAAAACCTTGTGAACCTTGCGTTGTTGATCATTCCCTGTTGTCCTGTATCCGTAGCTTCATCTACTCTGTGCTCGTGCTGGTGACGACAGCTCTTTACCTGTCAGGAATCCAGGCCTACGTTAGCGTGATGGTGTTTGCACTAGTATTGGGCTGGATGAACACACTGTACTTCACCAGAGGACTCAAACTCACTGGAACGTACAGCATCATGATACAGAAGGTCAGAATAATGCAGTCTGTTAGCTTAATGGTTTGTAGAATAGTGTTTTAAAGAGTTGCTGACAAGCTTTATCCACTTAGCTCATCTTCTTGCTTGTGAAATGACGTTTTTATGGCTACTTTCTGGGAAAATCAAAGCAATAGACATCAGCATTGGGCTTACAGTAGCACCAGTTCAGCAACTGTGGATCTTCCTGCAACTTGCACAAAAGATGAGAGTTTTTGAATGTTGTTCACACCACACTGGACACTTACTGTGTATTTTATTCTTTGTGTTCAGATTCTCTTCAAAGATCTCTTCCGGTTCCTGCTGGTCTATGTTCTCTTCATGATCGGCTATGCCTCAGGTAATAATCATAATAATAAACCTTAATGTAAGCGTATAGTGTTATAACAATAACAGTAATAGTATCTTTATTTATAAAACACTTTTCTTATGTAAAAATGCTGCTCAAAATGCTTGAAAGTATAATTAGATAAAAAAGTAAGGCAGTGTACACAAAACGGTGAACAACAGAATAACATTTAAAAGAAAATATTTGTCAAATTAGAAAACAAAATGAATAAAAATTCTAAATAAAAGTTGAAGTCAATTGTGGTTTTAGGTACTTCTGTGAATTACAGAATAAGACAAAAACATTGACCAGCTTCTTAGCATCTTTCAGTGTGAGAAAGAGCCTAATTCATGCTGTATTTCTTAAAAGAGAAAAAAAAGCCATTTTAGTGGTTTTATCAGTATGAGTTTTAAATATAAAAGTGGAGTCAAAAATTACACCAAGATTTCTAATTTCCTCTTCTGATTGTGGAGCCAGGTTTCCTAGCCCACTTAAAACTTTTATTCTATTTACCTTATTACCATTTATGAGAGTTTCTGTTTTTCTTAATTATTTTTTAAAAATGGCTAGTCATTGAGTTTATGATACTGGTCAGACAATTTGTTATGACAGTTGTTATTTAAAGCACTGTTATTATCTGACAATACTTATATAATTGTTTTATTTTCATAGCTATGAAAACTAATATAATAATGTGACCTAATGGAGGCATGTACAAGGAAAATAAGTGTGCCTAATACAGAACCCTGTGGTACACCATAAAGGATATCATATTCGCCAGAGCAAAGCTCACCGGGACTAACAAAGCACTTTTTCTTCCTTTAAGATGTGTCCAACAACATAAACACAGTTCCAGAACAGCTAGCCAAATTTGGTGTTTTTAATTTTTTTTTAATGCAGTAATTGCGCAGTTGTCCCGTTCTACTGGCAGATCTTTTTTACCTGCCCATACAGTAATAGAATAGAGTAGAACAGTTCTGTGCATTTCATATTGTGCTATAAGTAGGTAAACGGGGAGAAGTTCACATGAGGGACATTTACTCAAACTGTATACAGTCTGTCGGGTATAAATATTAAATAAAACATTTCAAAATCACATTTATGATCCAGGCTGGATATCGGCACAGAATTTTATAAAAATACACAGAGCTATGTGGTGCTCACATAATCCATAGTTAATAAAACAGCAGGCACTGTAGAGGAGCATATTAGACTTATTACATCAGCAGAAGAATCTATAGAGATATTGCATCATTGAGTTTATTTATTGTTTGTTATTCTTTTCTCTTCACCGTCAGCTTTGGTGTCCCTGCTGACCGTCTGTCCCACTAACAGCACGATCTGTGCTGACGGCTGCCCCGCAAGCTTGCATTGCCGCGACACGGTCGCCTTCAGCGCCTTCCTGCTGGACCTGTTCAAGCTGACCATTGGTACGGGCGACCTGGACGACCTCTTGCAGGGTGCGCAGTACCCCGAGGTCTTCCTCATCCTGGTGGTCACCTACATCATCCTCACCTTCGTCCTGCTGTTGAACATGCTGATCGCTCTCATGGGGGAGACAGTCAACCAGGTGTCCAAGGAGAGCAAGAAGATCTGGAAACTACAGGTTGGTGGGTTTATGACAATGTTTACGTTTGACCGCCCATATGACGGCCAATTAGCCCCGCCCATTTAGACCTGCCCATTCAGCCTACAGCAGTTTAGCCCTGCCCATTCATTTTACAGCAGTTTAGCCCCACCCATTCAGTTTACAGCAGATTAGCCCTGCCCGTTCAGCCTACAGCAGTTTAGCCCCACCCCTTCATCCTACAGCAGTTTAGCCCCACCCCTTCAGCCTACAGCAGATTAGCCCCACCCCTGCAGTTTAGCACCACCCATTCGGTCTACAGCTGTTTAGCCCCACCCATTCCCTATGAAGTGATGTGGAGTGTTGGCAAAATGGCAAAATGACCATTACAGCCTTCCAAAGAATCCACACCTCCAGAAGGAGCAACTAAAGCTGATTTTCTTCCCTCAGCAATGAGGATTATAGTCTGAGCTTGTCAGTTTGTTCCACATTTCAGCCTGAGCTCTGTCAAATATATATTAGTGTTAAACAAACAGTAATAAAAATGGAAACCTATCATTTAAAAATTAACTATGATTGTTTGTGGTACATGAAAACCACACATTATAAAGGCACATCAGGATAATTCCTTCTTATTTGGATTGATCAGACTTTTTATGGTGACAGAATATGAACATACATAAACCACTGGTATGCCCTCAATAGGGCAGCTAATTTAATATCAGTGCTTAATATTTTAGCACTAATAATCACACTGAATTACAATCACAGTCGAGTATAAAGAGAAAAAAGGAAAAAAAACATCTGGAAGCTACAAGGGAAGCATGGTTCCACCTCTCAGGGCAGGTGTGCTGTTATATTGTTAATAAGCGCTGTAAAGTGGGTTAATCAGTATTGCATTTATGTAGGAAGACAAAAATAAAATCTGGAAGCTCCAGATGAAAAGGAAATACATCTCGCTAGGCAGCTAACCTTATTTGAGTCTTAATAATTTATTAGGCTAAAATTAGGTTAATTAGAAGCAGAATAGTGCCTGAAGAGATGTGGAAACTACAGGTAAGGAGAGGAGAGGGGAAATGTGAGGGGCTTCTGTGCTAATCCAGTGCATCTCTGTACATCTGCAGTGGGCTACAACCATCCTGGACTTCGAGCGCTCCTTCCCTGTGTGCCTGCGCAAGTCCTTCCGCGTGGGTGAGATGGTGACGGTGGGCAAGAACTGGGACGGGACGCCCGACAAACGCTGGTGCTTCAGGTACACACAAAACCAGTCGATTACAGGAGAACTCCAACATTTTTCCACTTAATCTTCATCTGTTGTATGTTTTTTAATCTGTTTTTTAAATGATATATTCTTTCAGTTGGGATCTTGTTCAACATTTGACAGTCCAGTCAGTATTAATAAGTGAATTACTTGACTAAAAACTCTGAAGCTGATGAAATGCACTGTGTATAACAGGGTGGACGAGGTGAAGTGGTCTCACTGGAATCAGAACTTGGGAATTATTAACGAAGATCCAGGACAGAAAGAGCTAAACCATGAGGGAAACGCACAGACTGGGAGAGGACTGAGGAGAGGTGGGCTTCACACCGTGAATACATAGACAGGCTTGTGCACAGACTGGACACCAGCTTCACTGTTACCAAGTTCTATTACAGTTTTGTCCCTGTCATGGTTTTTTGACACCATCTTTACTCTGTGTGAACATTTTATGATTGATTGGCCAACTTCATTCTTAAGAAAAAAGTTACGAGAAATTGTTATTCTTCAAATAACTTCTTAAGAATTCTCTTATTTTCTTTACTTAACTATTTTCCTAATTATACACGAATAATTTTAAGAACAAGTGGTTTTCTTGAGAATATTATGTTCTTAAATGTTTTCTTAACCTTACGACAGCCTCACACTCGTCTTAGGCTGTAAGAAATAACATGGTCAGTGTCTAAATTTATCAGGGACACTGCCTCTGCTGCTCCTGCCCATCCTCCTCCATCACCCTACAATTATCACATTTTCCAATGAGGAAAAATTTTGGATTAAAAAATCAGGATTTTGTTCCTGTTAGCTATTTCTTCCACCATCACCTCTAGTTCTTGTTTGCTCAAATTGTTTAAACGCTTGGTTTCATGGTTTTCCTCCATTTTGCTCCTCTAAGCAGATTAAACTAAATAATGAAAGTAACAGTTAATACAAATTCAAAATGTATCTTGTGTCGTTTATTGTGTGTGGTAAAATGCAACGTAGCCTACATAAAAAAATAATGTGGATTTTCTTAAGAAAATCTTAAAGAAATAATTAAGATTAAGAGAATATTCGAGAATGTTTAATTTTTTTTTCAAGAAATAGATTTAAGAACATTCTTATGAACTTTTTAGTGTTTGTCTTAAGAACCTTCACAAGTTTTTTCTTAAGAAAGCTTTTGTGAATCTGGCACCTAGTCATCTGTAGTATTTGCAGGCTGAAGCCCAGTTGCATCGCGCTGTGTGTTGCTCTGATAGAATCTGTGATTGTAGTGCTCTCGTTCAAATACAGCTTTTAAATGGCTTTAAAAGTCAGGGCTTCAGCACCTTCAGCAGACTACAGTGGCCGGCACTCGAGGGAGAAAGCAGCATCTTGGTGGAGCCCCAGTTCCTCTTAAGATCTTCCACAAGAATCCATGAGATATTTGAACAAGAGCCAGAGGCTACAATCACAGAGGAACTGAACCTTTGACTGTATATATGATATATACACTCATTGACTGTATATATGATGTACACTCTTTGACTGTATATCAATGCTCTCGGAGCAAAACCTCACATCTCCAAATTGGTAACTTTACAGGAGAAGGAAAAAACATGCTTCACTTTTAATGTAAATCAATGGAACCAGAATTTTTTCCAAGTCAGTTTGTGCCGTTTCTTTTGGTCCATTCATCAAGAAATTTACACACAACATAAAGGACAACAGACATTTTCAAATTATGTCGAAAACTAAAAAACGATAAAAATGGAGATACAAGGTTTCGTTCTGACACCTGTGATATATGATATTTTATATATACATTCATGGACTGTGTGCATATACATACACACACTCACTGACTTTATATGATATGATATATACACTTGTTGACTATATATATCATATATATACTCTATATACACTCACTGATTGTATATGTATATATGATATAAACACTCATTTATTGTATATATATCTATTCATGATAGATAAACTCATTGATAAAGAATATTATCCCCATTCTTGTATTACATTACCATTAGTCAATGTTCTTTCTTTTGTTTTTGTTTTGTTATTGTATTGATGCAGACCGGTGGTCCACAGTGGTCCCACGGGTGGTGGAGCTGAGTAAAGGCACCAGATCCAGGGACCATGTGGTGGAGATGGAGCCCCTCAGCCCCAGAAACAGACTCAGATCTGAGAGCTAACCAGGGGTCCAAATGCAGGACGGTCATTCAACAGAGACTCACAGTGACCAGAGGCCACTGAGTAGGGTGGGGGGTGGGGGGACCAGATCAACTCCAATCACTACACAGAGAACATGACTAGGGATCCAGATCTGCTCTGATTGGTCAGTTCATGTAAACAGCACAGAGTGGACCGAATCTATTCTCATAAACTGCACAGGAAAGGAAACACTGCTCTGATTGGTCACGTCACATAAACAGTCGAACTGGAAGTCCAAATCTGCTGCGGTCAAGCTTTATAAGGTCGTCATAAGAAAATGTTGTACTTCCAAAACGAAAAGTTTTAGACATTTGGAAACTTTCTTAACTTTAGTGTGATTTTATTCCAAGTAATGTTGGACCATTTCTGTTGGTCCATTTATCAGGAAATGTTCTAGGATTTAATGATATTGATAAGTCACTTTGCAATATTTTGTTTTCACGATAAATCAGTGGTTCCCAAGTCAGACCTGGAGACCTCATACAAATGAGGAGCTTTTTAATTAGTTAACAGGTTGATGAGGGAAGGCACAAAAATGTGCAAAGTGTGGGGTCCCCAGGATGGACGTTGGGAACTCTAAATGGAGCTTTTTAAAACTCTAGCAATGCAAACTGTGTTCAATACTCCAGTTGGCACAACATCACAGTTGCACTCCGTTAAAGCAATGGTTTGACAAAAAAACAAATATACACAATTTCCTCCTAACCCCAGATGTAGTCGATCAGTTGAGACATGTTTGGTGTTAAAATTTAGCTTCTTTAGTTTATTGCCAGAGCTATGAGGCTAATGTTGCTGACAAACACTACAGGTCAGTAGTCACCCAAACTTTTTTTGTAAATACATCCTGAAAACTTCTCTCAACTCACTCAAACCATAAGCAGGTCTTCATTTAAGGATGTGCAGACTTGTTAATGTGCTATAAAAATGAACAGAACTCTACCATGTAGCCTTAACTGAGAGCAGCTGCAGGTGTTCTGCTGAATTCTGCCTATGCTGCGGATTGTGACTCCTCTTCATGTGGTTGCTACACTTTCTGTTTATTTTTTATTAATATTTATCTTTTACGATGATGTTTTGCTCATTTTTATAGCTCACAGTGAGTCAGACTGTGTCCTAAACCACATCGTCCGTGTACCCTTAATGAAGACCTGGATGCAGTTTGAGTGGGAAACATTTGGGTGACTATTGGCTCCTAGTGTAAGCAGTGTTGGCCTCAGAGCTCCAGTGCTAAACTAAAGCAACACAATTTAGATCTTAGCTGATCGACTGCATTTGGAGAAAGTGTAAAATTGTGGAAAATTGAATTGTCGCCAAATTATTACTTTAACAAGCAATATACTGGGTGCCTTATAATGTTGACATAATGTAAAGGGGCAGCTAATTGTTTTCAAGTATTGGAAAAAAGGTTAAAACTTTAGCAAGTTTTCCAGACCTAGATTAAGGCTAATCCTAGTCCACTAAGCATTCACCATTGGCACTGCAGATTTGTCCAAGACTAGGTTAAATTCATATCCAGTAAAATGGCCCTAGTGATGATAAACAGCACAGATGGACACTGCTGTACTGTTGAGTGACCCTGCGGACCAGTTTGAAAGCTTCTGCTCTACCAAGTGACCTGACCAAAGAACAGAGGACAGACACCTCAACACTAATGGGAGTAACACATAGACGCATAAGCTCCATTGAGCTGCCTGCATATTTTATAAGACATTATTTTCAACATGAAAAGTTTTGTATTGTGATTTTTTTATATGTACCTTCTGTAGACGATCTTACTCAGGGACCTGTTGTACTGATCGATACAAGCTCCGCCCACAAATGTGTTTTGTCATAGCTATTGTTGCTAGGGTTGGGCAAGCTTTGGTAAAAATCCCATTCGGCCTGATGAGAAACTGTAGAACAGACTCAGTTTATATCACAATACCTAGGTCACCTCAATAATACCTGGTTATTGATTTCAAATGATATTTATTTTGTATGCATGTGAAAGTTTGTCCTGTTAGAATAGATATAGCTTTTTCCTGCGTACCCCAATCAAGTCACATGTAGCCAATCACAGCTTGAGGCTGCCTGTTGTTGTGGTCTCTGTTCTTGCTTTAATATTGGTAGATAAGGCAGTATGATGGAGAAAAGGTTGATTGAATCTCTTAATATAACTTCTGCCATGCTTGTCCAACCTAGCAGCAGTTAGAGGAGCATGAAGAGATCATACATTTAGAATGATCTGAATTTCTTTGGTGCCTCAGATATGAAAAGCAATACTGCCAAAGATATCAGTACTAAATGGTTATGCACATTTTTTTTCATGTACGCCGGACATTCCAGGTATCTGCAGTTTTCAGGTAGTTGTTTTATTGACATACCCAGATGATTTTTGTCTCAGAGGAAAGAAGCCAGAGTCCAGCATAATTCTGGCTTCTGTAGAGCCTAAAGCTTTGTTTCAGAAGAAAAGTCTACACTGCCTCACGCCAGCCATCTACAGCTGGTTGTGTGTTCTCGACCCACAGCTGCATGTCCTGTTAACCGAACATGCTCATCACTTTTACATTTACATTTATGGCATTTGGCAGACGCTCTTATCCAGAGCGACTTACAGTGTGGTCATTTTACACAGGTAGGCAAAGGTAGTGTTAGGAGTCTTGCCCAAGGACTATGATTGGTATAGTGCAGGGTGCTGCCCAGCCAGGGGATTGACCCCCAGTCTACAGCATAGAGGGCAGAGGTGTTACCCACTACACCATACCAACCAACCAAGTTTCACTACTAACTACACTACATGGCCACTTTCTTAGAAACATATGCATTGGAGCTCCTTTGTATGCCTCTGTGGTGGACCTATAATGTAGGTGTTTCCAATAAAGTGGCCACTGAGTGGAAGTACAATGTCCTGTAGTGGACCTGAGCACATAATGTTCTCCAGCAGTAAGAAAAGATGAACCTTTAACAAAGGAAACACATCCCGTTCTGTCCATCAGGGCCTTCGTTTTAGCTGTCTGATGTTTTTAAATATGACTGTACATAGTTTTAAATACCAAAGACATGAATTTTGTACATATTGGTGCTTGTTATATCTTTTGATATTTAACAGCAAGATATCTAAAAACTCAACACATTGATGCTCACTACGGCAGACAGTGACCTCTTTCTCATTTTTATATATATATTATTAATGAAACTCATTAAACTCATTCAGAAAATTAATTCCCGCCAAACTGGATAAGTAGTTCAGAAGCTATTTCCATATTTAAGTAGGCTTTGTAGAAGGGCTTGTGCTTTAACTGTATTCAGTCTTGTCAGTGTCAGTGTATCTCAGCACAGTGGTGTAACTAGTGACAGTGCGGCGGTGGGCATTGCAGTTAGGCCCTTAACACCTTCACTGGACCTACTTGGTAGATTTTACATCGGTGTGTAGCTTTAATATACAGTATTGTGCAAAAGTCAGAGAGCACCCTTCAGTCATTTTATTTCCAGAAAAAACGACAACTGTGTCAGTCATTTTTCAGGGGATAGTAGTATCTGGTGTGCACCACATAATATCTGATGTTCACCTGATAGTATCTGGCGTGTATCACATAGTATCAAGTGTGCACCTAAAAGTATCAGGTGCTCACCAGATGGCATCTGGTGTGCATCACATAGTACCTGGTGCCCACTTGATAGTATCTGGTGCGCATCACATAGCATCTGGTGCTCACTTGACGGTATCAGTTGCTCACCACATAGTATCTGGTGCCCACCTGATAGCATCACATAGTATCAAGTGTGCACCACATAGTATCTGGGGCTCACCTCATAGTATCGGTTGCACACCACATAGTATCTGGTGAATACCACATAACATTTAGTGCTCACCACATAATATTGGTTGTGTACCACATACTATCTGGTGCTCACCTGATTTTTATTAAAAAAAATTTTTTTTAAAAATTAAAAAAAGGGATCCCTTCAGGGTCCCTCTGTACCGTTTTAACTGGAAGTTAATTAAAAGGGTCTCTGATTTTGTACAGTTCTCTACCTGTAGTGCAAATAGTGAGTAAAACAAATTACAGTTATTTTATTTATAATTTAAGGTCATTTTTCATATGAGGAGCCGTTTTTTTGCACTGGGGGCCTAGAAGATCCTAGTTCCGCCACTGTTCCCAGTATATATATATGTTTACTGCAGAGTCTTATGTAGTAGAGAGAGCTATGTTTATACAGTAGAGTATATAAATAGATGTTAATAAAATGTAAAGTAGCAGCGCTCATGTTAATATATATTCTGATCTACAGTTTGACTGTAGGCCACCAACTGAGAGTGTCTGTGCTGGTTACTACTGTCTGGAGCAGCCTGTTTTATTTCTGAGCTCCAATAAAAGATTTTTAAGTTTGTACATGTTTGTTTGTGACTAATCCTGTTAACCCGCCACCTTTCTAAGCTGATTATTTAAGCTTAAACTCTGGATGTCCCCCTGTGTTTGAACTGGACACGGCTTATGTTGACCAGCAGGAGGCAGTAGAGAGACATAACGTTTACTGTAAGGGGAGCAGAGTGATTGTATATTAGAAAACAAATTAAATGGATAGACAGTAAAGAGGTAAATACAAAAATAAATACATAAATAAATAAATGTTTTCATGTTAACCAGCAGGAGTCAGTAGAGAGTTGAACTGTGAGGTGAGGCTGATTTCAGTGTAGAATTAGACTTTTTTGACACTTCATTCAGTAATGAAGATCTGATATAAACCAGCATGTCTGTACAGAGTTGCGAATGATTTCTCAGCAAATTAGAGAAGTTTAAAATAAAATAACAAAACAAATAAATGAATAAGAACATCAATAATAATAACGATAATTTTGACTAAGAATGTTTGAACTGATTGCCGTCATTTCCATGTTATTTATTTGTTGTTTTGTGCTATTTTACTGAATATTGTGCTTGAAGGATGGCACGTTTCAGGTCGCTGGTCCACACCTGAAATGTCTTCAGTGGACGCAGTGACCAAGACCGAATTTCCCTCTCAAATGTGGCTGTTACTCACTGTCCATCCTGGAAATGGGCTGGTGGATCTCAAAAGGCTCCCTGCAAACTACGTGGTGCACTATTTATGCTCTGCCCACAAACTATCCAGGCTCGACCCATACTAGTGTTGTTGATGTTGAACAGTTTCAGCCCTAATTCACACGAGCATATTTCTGCAAATTAAGACAAACCTACAATATATCACTTTTAAGAAAACAAACCTGAGCTCGACATTGTACGTGAAAACCTGGACTGAGCCAGGCCAGAAACCCGGCCACGCTGGGTAGTGAGGCCTGACCCCGGGTTTTCTGGAGTCCACTCAGTTTTAACCAAGACAGCTCCAGAGCCGGAGATAAAAGGATACAGAAGATATTAAATAATCCTAAATACAGTTTACCCAAAATGCTACATATTATAGTGATACGATGAAAATTCATAGATTATACCAAGGAATATCAGGGAAAAGAAAACAAGTGGATCCTTGGCTTGTTTTGGAGAGATTCTGAGAAGAACCGATTCACATTATGCTCGGAAGAGGATTAGCTTAGCTAGCATGATTAAACAGCTGAAGCTGAACTTTCTGCTCAATCGTATGTCTGTTCCTGAAAGCCTCGATTATCAGAGCCGCTCCGTCGGTCAGCTTCCATCACCTGACCGAGTCCTGACTTCATTCCTCTCCAGGTGACACTGATGCCTGGGCATAACAAAGCTGCTCGCAGAGTGGCCACTGCAGGACCCCCACTGTGCTGAGTTTAACCCCCTCTGAAGGACACCCAGGGACTCTGTGGCCCCTCAGAGCGAGGCTAATCCTCTTTAGCGCCAATGCTAACTAGGACATTAATCCTACAGGAGTTTACCTCAGCACTCTGCAACACGAACACATACATTCAGCTGACTCCCTCCTTTTTATCTCCCTCTCTTTAGTTCTCTTTTTCATTTCTTTCACTCTCCCACCCCCTTTCCCTATTTCAGTCCATCTCCCCTTTTCTCTCCCACGCTGCCTTTTTGTTTTTTCCTCTCTCTCTGTCTCTCTCTATATATGTATAAGTAGGACAGTGTCACAGTGCACTATATCACACTACACTACACTGAAACTACACTATATCACACTACACTACACTGAAACTACACTATATCACACTACATTACACTAAAACTACACTACATCACACTACACTACACAAACTACATCACACTACACTACACTGAAACTACACTGCAACACACTACACTACACTAAAACTACAGTAAATCACACTACATTACACTACATTACACTAAAACTACACTACATCACACTACACTACACTGAAACTACACTACATCACACTACACTACGCTACAACTACACTACATCACACTACACTACTACACTACAACTACAGTAAATCACA